TAAATTTTATCTCCGCGTTCCTATACTTGTCCTGACATGACAATAATCCTTAAGTGATAATCATAATCTTTCTCATTGGATTTCAGGCCTACGTGAATATTTTTTGGCAAACTTAATATTCATGTCTCGGAACTCTCTTCCACAATTTGCCTCTTTTTATCAGCTTGATCCATCTTGATATTTGCTCCTTTCCTTTTCTAGGATTTTATCCTGGACCTCGATTAGTTCTACTACGCTTCAGGCGTGCTTAGACTCATTAGCACATAAGTAGTCCTACCTTCAGGGACTTTATTCTATAAGAGCATCTTACAGCTACGTCCATGCCTGAGATTTCAGTTATTTCCTTTTTGGATTAGAAATATATCTTGACAACTATTTTGTTATTTTCTGCACACCATGAATTAATCTTTTAAACTTTTAAATTTTGCCTTCGTCATGAGCGATCAAGATCATAATAACGACTACATTCTTTTCCCAATAATTATTCTTGTTTTGGCTGCCTCTTATTTTCTTTTCCCGTATTGTCCAGCGATCCAGACAATAGCAAATCTTGGCCCACTATATAACTTCTTCCTTATTTTGTAAAATCTAGAATCCTTTACACTCAATAGAATAATCAACCCTACCCGACCTAACTCCTTCTTCAACCCCCATTTGAGGGCCCATCTTAGTGCGCTTGTGGTGAACAATTAAGAACAAGGTGCACATTTAAATTCCTCGACTGGTACTTTGGCTTCCTAATTCAAAACTAATTATAAAAGGGGGCAACTTATAAAAATATTATTGGCCTGATGCGAGCTACAGCTGCTACTACCATATAATAGCATCGCTTCGCTCTAACAAAATAGAGAGCTTTGTTTCTCATCAATAATTGCCTTGGCAATTTAATTGCAATTCATTTAAAACAAATGATCTCTACTACATTTTGAGCATTAAATAAAAGCCAGCAATGTGGTCTTGCGCTATAATTATAACACATGCATAATCATTACAGGCTTGATGTTGTAAATTCACCATCATTCTCAAGATAATTAGCTTAATAGTTTTCTGAAAATTGTGCTGCTTAATTAAACTTATTTTCGCAAAATAATTTTCAACTTCAGGTTGCAAATTATAATCATGATGTACCTATTTTGAAATGAATCCGTCAATATCCAAATAATCACATGATGATGAATTAATCAATAATTTCAACTTTAGTATTTTTCAAAAAATGCAAGCAGTTCAATTTTGAACTCTTGGTGATTGCTCAATAATTAATTTACCTTTGAAAACAAACTAAGCCATGAAAAATTTTCAATAGATTTAAAGAAACTTATTTTTCCCAATAAACTACTATATAAAGCTAAATTTTCTTTTTTCGCATCATTATGATCGGGATAAGTCAAACGCGGTTATGCCAAATAATCAAGTAACTTGGTTTGCAATCATACTTTTATTTAAATCATTATCTATACTGATTTTAAATGAATATATTTGGAATAAGCCATTATTGATAAAAATTCATTCCTTTAAGGTAGTAGTATTACTTTCTGGAGCCTTTAAATAATTTCTTTTACTACCACAAGATAAATTTGCCCTCTCAATATTTTGGTGTACAACACAGTACAATCAAGCAATTCCATATCATGCCACATTATTTTGTACCACTTATGGTGGTAAAATTATTCTTAATTGTGGTCACTATAATTGTTATGGAATCATTACTTCAATTGTGATATTATTGTTTTCAATAAATAAGTATATTTTTTCATTGTTCATGTTCACGACCCAATAAATCATATATTATTACATTCACTTCAGGGAATGTAATCAAATCTAAATTGGTAGATTTCACTACTCCCGTATCTAGTATTATGTCATCATTCCATTTCAACTTTCAGGGAATGGAGAAAATCTACCATTGAATAAGTTTCATGTATTAATTAGGAGCTCAATATTTTTGCTTAATACTAAAAGGAATTAATGAAATAAATCAAAGTTTATTATAAACTTTTTCTCTTCAATTTGCTGTACTTCAAGAGCCGTATTTGCGAGGTATAAATATCAGTTAATAATCTCTAAATTCAAGAGCTAATATAAAGCTCCAACATAAATAACAATAATTATCTTAATTATATTTTAAGAAATAAATCAACCAATTCTCAAATTGGTAGACAATAATAATATTGCCAATATAAAATAATAATAATAATAATAATCTTAATGTTGAAATCAAAATAACTTACACGTTTTACCGATTTCTAAATAAATACATCCTGATTAATGTGGAGCTTTCAGTCATTATACCTTTCTTTTAAACCATTGCAAAGAATACAATAGATATTTAATTATCAAATATACAATAGAAAGAAACTTTTATTGCCCTGAGAATTATTTTGATTAGATTTCTTGATTTCTATACTTATTGTGTTTTCAGAACTCATGCATTAAATGGTATTTTAGATCCTACGCATCTCATGATTATAATTCCTTTCCACGTATTAAGAATCACACAATTCTGGTGTTTTGTAAAATTTGACCAAATAAATATCAAACTCATAAGAAAATACTCAATGTAAGAATAGAATACAAATACAAATTCTCTAGTGGAATAGATCATCTTATAGAAATTAAACTTAACACAGCTAATAACTAATTATTCAAATTTGTCAAACATCGCATATTAGTTCAATATGTTATATGGCTCTTAATGGTCAATTGTTGGCGCTAGTAGTACCATGATATAAACATTTGTTCAATAAATCATGCAATCTTAGATTTGGGAAACATATTCACATTTTATTCAAGTTTAATTCTCCATATAGCAAATTACATGCAAAATGACATGAATATAAAATTTCAGGCTTTATAACATGATTAGGAAAGAAACTTTGAACGCATGAAACTTTAACTCATCTGGCACGTAGGTACAGTACAGTATGGTTCCAATGTCACCAAAATATTAATTGATTAAAATAATCAATTGTTGGCAAGCTATGGCAACACATAAATATTCTTGAGTAGCTACAAGTAACAAACAAACACCAAAATTTAATTCTGTGTCCCAAATCAAAGAAAATTAACTTGCTTAGTTTCCTTTTTCTTTCAAAATTTTATTGTTGGAATTCCACAAGCTAATACTAAGACTTAAAGCCCCACAGATCTGATAATATATTTAACCATCTAGATCAAATGGGTTACAACATGTATGTCATTAAGTTAATTTTATACCATATTAATATACATAAATTTGATTTGCACCGTAAGACAAAATATTATTTTTGGTATCTTTTTAAAAAAATTCACGTAACTTGCAAGTAGCACCAATAATTTTATTTCTCTTATAAAGGCGTATCTTAACTTTGATTGTCGCACAATTATAAGTTAATCCTCCTAAGCAATTTAATCAAGAAGTGGTAGAAAAAATTATGCTGATATGTGTTATAAAATAATATAAATTAAAGAGAAGAAAGAGAAAGCAACTAGAGAGTAAAGTATGGGAGAGAATGCGAGAGTGTCCTTTATTATTCGATGAGTGAAGCAGTATAATATTGTTACAAGTTGGAACCTAATAGATCATACACAAATTTATGAAGATATAGTTCCGCCATAAAGTTAAGAATACAGACTGTTCTAGCATATATAGGACATCCCTTATTTCATAATATTTTTTCAAATTATTGTTAGGTTTTTTGAATTTTTTGCACAATATTAATATGAATTTTTTATTAAAATTATTTTTCTATTTTTATTTTTCTTTTAAAACATAAATAAAAAATAAGATAATATTCGATTCCAACCCGATCCGCTTCCCAAAAATCCGGAAAAAAATTCGATCGAAGTGGAAATGGATTATGGAATAATATAAATATCTTCACGAATTGGATATTAATTTTTTATAGTCTGATCCGAATCTAAATCCGTGATCCATTTTCTATCCATCCACTCTCAAAACCAAATGGAAATTTTGCCACTTCACAAATTCGAATAAGGTAACTAGCAAAAACCAATGTTCTAAGGATCATTATTAACAAGGAACCTTCTGCATTCCAACACATTATATAAGCAACCGGTCTTCAAAACCAGTAGCACGCAAGAACAGGCAGCATAACCCCGAAGGAAGCCAACATTGCCACCAAATGTCTTCAAACAATGTTCTTGTAAGATTTAACGAGACATATTTTTTAAAGAATGAATATCTTAAGAGAAGTATTATGAAATAACTGATGTCCTATGTGAGCTAGAAGTTTGTATTCTTAATTATTGCGAATTTATCTTCCTCATTATGTAAAATTCTAATTAAGACTTCCTACTTAATCGTATAACATATATATGTGACTTTTTATCAATAATAAGTTATACTCTCATTATTCCTCTCTATTTCTCTATTCTTCCCATCTTATTTCTTCTCTAACTTTTATATTATTTTATAACAAAACTTTTTTATTAAAAAAATTTTTTAACCTTTTAACTGTTGCTTTTTATTTTTTCCTCGGTGAAACAGTAAAAAATTTTTTTTCTGGTCATGAAGTCAAAATAAATAAATCAATTCCACCCAGCCTTTTTTTTTTTTTTTTTTTTTTTTTTTTTTTTTTTTTTGGCAAATATAGTAATAGAAATAAGTCAACAATTGCCTATTCCCTCATATTTATTTTTCAATGATTTATTTTTTACAAAAGACATTACGAAATTTAAATTTAAATATCACATTTTTTTAACAAATTTTTTTTTTATTTAAAAAAAAAAAAGTAAAAGCTGAACCTAACTCAAGAACGCTCTTCTCGTTCACTCTTTTGAAACTTTCAAACCTACAAAACAATAAACATTCTCAAAACAGCACAACTCAGGCAAACAACATAGTTTCAACAATTGGCCATAACAAACAAAAAAACAATCACCGTTCTACGGAAACAAGATCCGCTAACGCGAAGGAAAGTCTGGTTTCAAGAAAATTATGAAGGTGACATCGACGCTATGCAATAACATCTACAGATCGGCATCAGTGATCTGCCTGATCCTATTCTCCATCACATCCTTTTCCTTCTTCTATAAATCCATTGCCACAAACTAGCGTCTTATCAAAACGATGGAGATCCTTTGGTCTTCATTCCCTGAGTCTTGACTTCACCTCCATTAACACATTTCCACTTCTCCAACTTAAATCTAATTAATTCTCAAAAAGATCATCACATGGATTTCATTTCCAGGTGTTTATCTTCTCCGTGACAAGGCATTCTGATCTGGAGAACTCTTCGTTTTTCCAGTGCTCGTTTGAGCTTTTCAGGTCTTAAACGGTTTTGATCCGTTGTGCAATTAGACAAATAAGTTTCAAAGAACTTGATGTTGAGTTGCTACTGTGAAGACTTACTCAATTTCCTCGCGGCGTTATAAAAAGTGTCTTTAACGAGTTTTCAAGTTGAAATCTCGATATCCTGGAATTTAGATTGCTACTTTCTTCTGTAATCGGCAGGTGGTTTCGATCACTCAATACATTATCTCTTTCCCTTGTCATTTTATATGATCAATCCTCATCTCGGATTTGTTTTACTGAATCATCATTTCTCGTCTAAAGAAACTCAAATCTTGACCGCTGTTTTGGGCTGAAAACTCTAAGATTAGTTGTGAGCGCTCGAAGATTTAACTCTAGAGAATTTGCTTTCAGTTAAACGGGTTGGATATTTCATGTGCAAAATTGGGGAGAAATTGCGAATCACAAGCTGTTTTGAACTGCGTATTATGATAAGAAGTTGGCGTGAAGATTAATGCTCCCATACTTAGAATTGGTTGTTTGGGAATACAATGCTTATCTAGGTAGCGACGTTCTCTGCAGAATTTAACATCTCTTCATGAAGCTCCGTTGGGTTTTTTCTACTTCATGAGATATACAGTACGGAAAGCTCGAAGTGTATGTGATCTTTTATGTGACTCTCTCATGCCACAAACTTTAACCTTGAAAAGCCAATGTATAGAGGTATAATAGCTAAATGCTTGACCCTCCATATTATAACTCATTTAGTATTGGCGAGTATTAGTAAATTTGTTTTGGAAGGCTCATTTAACATGCACCTAATATTAAATTTTATTTGTTATGCATCGATTAACTTTAGTTTTCATTTAAAATTTACAACATTAAAATATAAATTCAAGAAATATTTAGGGTTTTGCAACTTAAGTTATATAAAATAGAGAGGAAACAAGAAATATTCACTGGAATTTGTCAATGTAAAGCTATGCTAAATTTATTCCTATGATTGCACACTAGAGTTAATAGTAGTGGTAAGTGTATTATATAACCTAATAATAGATTTTTGGTCAAAATCCCCCCTCCCTAATATTCCAAAAAAAAAAAAAAAAATTTATGATGTGGCATTTTAAATTTATTTTTTAAGTTGAATAATTTTTTAAAATATTTATTTCATTGATTTAATCAATAGTGGGCCATAAATCGGATCTAGCCAAGTATATTTCCTTTTCTCATATCCTTTTTCATGTTTTAGATTTTGTGCAGCCTCTATAAAATGCATGGAGTAATTCATACCATTAACATTCTAAACAAATCGCAACTCTTCTGGTGTATGCATATATATATTATTATATATATATATAATTAATATACTTTGATTCCTTTTCCTGTTAAATTAACATCTCATTTTGCTAATAGTTATCACTTATTGTTGACAGAATTTTATCGAATACGAATACTTGTCCCAATCTTGTGTTCATCTCCATTTGTTTTTTTTTTTTTTTTTTTTTTTTATTTTCTTTTTTTTTTTAACAATCTTAAATTTGGAGTTACATTGGCTTTCAACAAAAATAATATCCCTGGATAGCCACCCTGTTTAGAAGCTCTTCCAGCCATTGACACACTTATTCTCAATGGATTATCAACGAACTACAAGATTGAAAGGAGCGGTTAGTACAAAATCACTTCGATTTATTTTCAAATATACGTTGTGTATATGATTAATAAAAATAAACCCCAAAATGGTTTATTAATTTCCCCCCCAATTTTTTTTGGGGAAAAACAGCAAAATGGGGAATAGGGGATATGTGGATCATGGCTACGCTCCAAGGAACGAGCAATAATTGGGAATCTTCAAATCCCAAACTTTGAAGCCAATTTCTAAGCCACCCTTTAAGGTAGTGAAAATTCATGGATTTTTAGAATGTGAGACCAGAAGTTAGTTTGGCCAAGTTTTTGCTAAGCTGGAAAGCACTTGCAAGAAATGACTCATTTGCACCTCAAACTTGCAACTATCAGAGATTCTCTTCGAAGACAAAAAGCTTAGTCTCAAATGCATGGGATTTCTCTTGGGCGTCTTCTATGGCTAAAATTGGCATTCTCACTAATCTTGGAAATTCAGATATTCATGAAATTTATAATTCTAATTCCAATGCACGTTTTTAATTTTGCTTTAAATGCAGATAAGGATCAATCTTCTGCTAAAATCTATTATTTAATGGAATGCTAGTCCCTAGAATAGGAGGCATAGTATATATTAGTCAAAATGTAAATTTGAGAGAAAGGTGCTTTTTTGTTAATTTCAAAACAATGGAGTAGTTGTTCTTATTGTCCTCTCTAGCCTTTATTAATCTAAAATAGAAGGGACGCCCAATAAGAGACTAGATACATATAAAATAAGGGTATTGTGTCTTTTCACTTGATAAAAGATAGAAACAATATAATAACAAAAGGGAAATGTTTTTGTAAAATAATCGATTATTTATACTCCTCTTCCGTTATAATAGGAAAAATTTTTACTTTTGCGGTGTTCTTTTTATATAGAAAATTTTGTCTAATTTGGTAATTTTGGGAAACCACTGTATATGAAAATTTCATTTTTATTCTTTGTGACGCTATTAGGATGGGAGACTTCCTCAAGATAATGGGAGATAAAGATTATATGAGCATTTCAATGTGACGATTTTAGTGAATCGAGTTTGTTTTTCATCAATTTCCATTGAAAAAAGTTTGGGAACAATGTCAATGTGGAACAAGTCTATCTTAATTTTTTGTGAACAGCTATTAGGATGTGAGATTCTCAAGATATCAGAGATAAAGATATATATGAAGCAATTTAATGTGAAATAAATTTTAGAGGAATGAGTTTGTTTACATCAATTTTCCATTGAAAAAAAATGTGCTCGTATATGTTAATATAGCAAAATTGGAGTTTGATAGAAAATGATCACAAAACTTTTCAAGCTTTACTAGAGTGAAATGAATTCTTACAGACTTTACAGAATGTTTAAAAATTTGTTAATATATTTTAAATGTTGAATGAGGCGCTTTTTTCTTGAATCTGCCAGCGCGAAGTACGTCCGCAATCGATTGAGATAAACGACATATGGGAAGGTAAAAAAATGATATAAATTTTTTAAAACGTAATTATCTAACTGACCACTCAACTTTGTATTGAATTTAATTAATTGTGAAAAGACTTTTAGTTAGAAGAAGGATGTTTTTAACCGAGAAAATAGAAAATCTAAGTGTGACTCATATTGAACTGTAAAATTCTCGCATATACCAATTGATTTCCTTAGCTTTGCTATATACATATCTAATTATCCAAAGATGTACCAGTCTATCACATCAGCGCTCTATATAGTTATCTTTCTAAAATTCCTAATAGGTTTAATTAATTGAGTTTTTGAGCTTTCTGGTTCTGTGGAGGCCCAAATGTATTGTTTGAGGTTGAATGTAGGCCAATCTCAAATATTCCTTTTCCACCCTCTCCCGCCTCAGATGGAGTTTGGTAAGCGAGACCCAAACCCTCTTGACATTAGGGTCTAACAAATGTTGTGTGAGGTAGGATTTTTGTAAGAGTTGTCACGATCTAAGAATCGAGAGGGGTTGTGAGCAATGAAGGAACTCCGTTTTGTATTTCATGACGAACGACGTGGAATTGATATCGATCATGCTTCGTCCATTCATGAAAACATGGGATTTGCGACGATACGAATTGGCCGGCTTGGTTGTCACAAGTAAAGGCTTGATCGGCAAGGGAATGGCGGTACTTTGAAGATCGAGAAAGAGGTATGAGATCACTTGAGTTACAACAAGTATTTGCATACTACGGTATTCTGCTTCGGCAATTGGGTGGCTAATGTACTTAACCGCTTCTTTGTTTTTCTAGGAAAATCATGAATTCCATAGAACATGCAATATCCACTGAGTGATCTCTTGAGTGACTGCTGCATGCATAGAAGTCCAAGGGGTTGGTTTTACTTTTTGGACTTGTTCGTTTTGCTCTACTCTTTTTCTTCGAAAAACATTTGGGCCTTCCTACACACCTCGCTCGCCAGAATGCCTCCTTTTAGTTTGAACGTCAAATCCAAGATAACCCTGGACACGGCGGTGGAAACTTGCCAAGCTGCGGGCAGGCCTATCCCTCTTCTTTCAGATTTGAGTCACATTGACCCCTTCTGCGCTTTTGCGGCCAATACAAATGTATGCTAAGCAATTGTCGTTCTGTCTGGACTTAGTAAGATCAGGATCAAAGTAGAATAGCTAGTCCCTAATCTGAAAGACGCGCTAATGTGCCTTATGATGATCCACATCTTAGGCGTCAGGTCGCTGAAATGAGACAACAGGATTGCACTATCTATGTGGCTGAGAGTCCAGCAATCGGCAGTAGGCGGTAATGGTGGAGTTACTTGGAATAACGGAAGAAAAGACCCAATACTAGGTACTTTGAAGGTTATTTTAAAAACGGTGAAGACTCTTGAAGGTGGTCTTTCACAATGACTTTGCATAAATTGGCTCAATTGATGTCCCTGAAGGAACATTGGTCTCATCATGTTGACATACAACAGGCGACCCACTAATCCACGCTACATGTCCTAGGATCTATGAGTAAGCCCCATCTTAGGTAATAACTTCAACCTTGATACAAATGGGTTGGTTGCTCAATTTTGATGTGTGGAGACTTATGTGTTTAAGTAGGGTTACGAAAATGAATGTTCCTTTTGTGATCAAAAATAAAGCCTTTTTGTTGATATCTGCGACTTCTAGACCCAAGAAATATCAGTTATATTCACATTCGTACAACCTATATCACCAAGCCCACATAATAAGGGCCCATTGTTTAGTTATAGTGTTATACTTATATCACAACCTTCAAATATAGATATGATCTACAAGCTTCAAAAGTAGCATCATAGGTATTTTCTTAGACTATACCTTGATTGAATCTTCAACCTGATTATAACAAAGGAACTTCATGGTGGCTCACTGTGTCTCAATATTTCATAACATATTCACCATCATTAGCATTTAATACTCGTAGTATAGTTTATCATTATTCAAATCATACAAAGACAAGAACTTAAATCACACTCACATACTTCCCCTCATTCATGCCATATTTAGTCATGGTTTCATCTCTTTACAAATAGGTATGAAGAGCTATTCTCATCATTAAAAGCATATATCAAACAACTTTAACATTTTCAATTCATTGACTAATAAGTATGATTTAAGTATAAATCAACATCCCATATTTAAAACAACTTAGGCCTCATCCGGCCAATTCAAGATAAGTGAGCTAGAAACACTATTTTTTGTCTCATTAAATCAAGTTATAACATTCTATCATATCCAATTACACATTT